TAAGCAATATATACTCTATATTATTAATAAATTATTATTTTATTTAAAAAATACTAAATACAATTTAATTTCTAAGTAAATTTGCCTAAAATACAGTTTAAGAAATAATAAATTTTTTAAATATTAATTTTAAACCTATAGTTTATATTAAAAATTATAATTTTTTTTTAATATTAAGGTTACTTTTTTGGTTCTTTGACTTTTATTAAGTAATTTAATTCTATAAATACTACAGAAAAAGTGTACAATTGGCTACATATATAACTTTTTTATATTATCTATTTAAAATGTTTGTCTAAAGATTCTATATCAATTGCTATATCTAACATTTTTATTTAGAAGTTTTATTTTAAAACTTCTAAACCTGCATCTGTGTTAACATTATTGGATTTTATTCAGGTTATCATTTTAATCTTAAAATTATATAATCCTTAAAATAAATCTTCTAAAATCTTTTGTATTTATTTTTATAGTTGACTTAGTATTGCTATAGTAGAACCAATACTTGTAGTCAAAGTTATATTATTTAACTACTATGCTCTTATAGAGTTTACTCAAACCTTAATATTACTTTACAGCATATCTTTAGTACTTTAGTATACTTCTGCCTGTTTTTTAAATTTCTAATTCAGATAGCTTATATAAAACTATGACTAGTCTATTATTATATTAAATCAATCTAATATCCTTTTTCTTCAATTTGTTCTAGTGGCCTAGTTGATGATACCTTTGGAACTTTCAACTTAAAGATTCTTGTCTTTCTAGATATTTTAACATAGTATTTGTTTTCTTAGACTAGTCTTTACAGTAATATTGTTAAAAATTTATATTACTTTTCTATATAAGTTTTCTCAAATAGACTTCTTGTTTCTTAATTTCAACAAATTTATATAGTCACAAAGACTTATTTAAAGTTTGTACCATCTAATGCTAGTTTGTATTTTTTTATATAACCAGTTATATAAATGCTTTATAACTTGTTAGTCATGCTAATGCAACTATTATTACAAATATCTTAATCTAATTATTAGAAACAATTAATATAATACAAATATTATATAAATAATTATCTAAATTTTTATTGTTGATAGGATTTAAACACCTAACCTACTATTTAAAAAGTTGTCAATTTATTTACTTCACTAAGTTATTATACTTTATACTAGTATTTTATTAAAACTGTTTTAAAGGTACTTAATAAAAATTTTTTAATTATTAAATTTTTTTTTTTCTTAATTTTATTAAAATTTAATCTTTTTTTGTTTTATAATTTAATTTTGATAATACTTCAAGTATATATTTGTTTGATTTAATATATTTTATTAATTAGTTAAAATAAAATATCTATAATTATAATTATATTAATATAACTAATAGACTATAAGGCATTTGTAATATTTATGTAACTTTAGTTATACAAAGATATACAAACTAATACTAAGTAATGTAAACCAAAAATAAATTCTTATAACTATATGAATTTGTAAAACTAGAAAAACAAAAACTTATTTAAGAAGATCTAAAGATAGTATAAACTTTTGATAATATAATTATAAAAGCTTGATCTAGAAAACAAATACTAATATAAAAAAGACAAGCAAAATCTTTAGATAAAAACATTACTAACTAGACTGTTAGGTTTAGACTAAAAAAAAAATTAAATCAGACTTAATATATATATTAAAAACAAATTACAGTTTTTTGAAATTATCTGAATTGAGATTTTAAAAACAAACCAAAAATAATACTAAAATATTAGAAATATTATATGTTGTAAAATTGATATTAAAATTTGTATAAATGTTGTAAAGACAATCCTTTTAATAAAACTATAAAGTAAATAAATTAGTTAATAAGAAGATTTTTTTAAACCTACTATTAGTTTATATGCTTTAAAATAGTTAATAACATATATACAAGTTCAGAAAAAAAAGATATATACTACTTAAATAATATATAAGTATATATATATATATTTTTTTTTGATATTAAGGTAACCTCTTTGGTCTTTTAATTTTTATTAATCACTTATCAGTATTGTAGTTCAATGAACTACTACAAGAGAGAATACAATTGGCTACATATATAACTTTTCTATATTACCTATTTAAGGAGTCTGCTCAAAGATTCCTTATCAATTGCTGTATTTAATACTTTTGCTTGGATGTTTTACTTTAAACCTTCTGAATCTGTAACCTGTATTAACTTACTAGGTCATATCCAGATACCCAGATCATCGTTTCAACCTTAGGACTAATTTATTCTCAAGGTAAACTCTTCAAAGTCTTCTGTACCTATTTTTATAACTAATCTAGATATCACTATAGCAGAATCAACACTTGCGATCAGGGCTGACCATTAAATTGCTATGCCCTTGTAAAGTTCACTTAGACCTCAGTATCTACTTCATAGCATAATCTAGTACTTTAGTATACCTCTGTCTTTTCATCTGCCTTTTTACCTACCTTTTTACCAAATTTCCAATCCAGATAGTCTTTGTAGGACTGTGACTAGTCCATCGATATATCAAGTTAACCTGATATTCTTTTTTTTTGGTTCATTCTGGTGACTTGGTTGGTGATACCTCTGAGACTCCCAACCCAGAGATTCTTGTCCAACTGACTACTACAACTGGGTACTATAACCTTTGTATCCATTTCTCTAAGCTAGTCTTTACAGTAAAGCATCGAAAATTCAACTACCTCTCTACTTAGATCTTCCTAAATAGAATCTTGTTATCCAATTTCAATAGATTTATACAGCTACAAGGACTTATCTAGTATTTGTACTACCTAATTTGTTAGTTTGCATTTTTTTGTGTAATGTCATACTTATACAGATGCTCTATGACCTGACAGTTATGTTAGTATGACCACCATTACAGGTATTCTAACTTAATTATTAGTAACAGTTGTCATAATATGAATATTACATAGATGATTATCTAAATTTTTGCCATTGATAAGATTTGAACACCCAACCTACCACTTAAAGGGTTGACAACCTAACCACTTCACTAGGTTACCACACTTCATATATAAGTATATATAAAAGGTTAATAACAAATTAAAATTTAGTAAAAACAGATAATTAAAAGATTTAAATGAATAATCTTCTAGTAAATTTAAGTATAATATCTAATATAAAACCTTAGAACAGACTATTTAAATAAACAACCAAAATTACACATATAACTAGTTGTACTCTTATGTCTATAAAAAATAGTTGTATTAACTAATTTCAAATTACCAATAAATTACTACTGCAAAATATGCCAAATATATATATGTAAAATTTTAGGCTAAGCAAATTTACTTAAAAAGCAAAGATAGAGTTTTTTAATAAAAAAAAATTGTATATAAATAAACTAAGATTTTAAATTTATATAATTCACCTTATTGTTTTACTAAAATAACCTACTTTTTCTTATAAGCAAACTTGGTCAACATAAAATTTTACATATAATTACACTTTAAAACTAAAAAATGTTTTTTTTTATAAAATTCGATTAAGAAAATTTACAATTTTTATAAAATTTTTAAAAAGTGTTCTAAATAACTTTAATCTGCTATTTTCAATATGCTTAACCCTAAAATATGAAATTAATACGTAAGTTGAAAATAATGTGGGGCTTAAAATTTATAGTAAATTTATGTTTTTATTATAAATTTTATTATCATTTACCATTCTATATGGCATATTCTCTGACTGTTATCGTTATTAATAATGATGCAAGATCGTACTCAAAATAAGTCAAAAAGATTTAATCAAAATATAAATAATTAACAAGTATGGACTTAAACATGTTCTACAATTATGCAAAATAAAAGATAATTTAATCAATATTTTATTAACTCTTTTCCTCAGATTGATCAGTTTTGGAGTGTCTTCGCCTCTTAACGTCCCAATTATAGACACGTGCAATGTCTGTAAAAAAAAATCGCGAATTAAGGAATAACAATACTGCAAAAGTAAAATAATATTTTTTATCCGAAATTTTGATGTACAATAGGATACTAACTTCCATTGTGGTAATCTGCTCTCTCATAAATTCTAAATCTTCTATAACAAAATCAAGTGTACTCTGGGCAGTTGACAATTTTGTTTCAAGAAGTTCCTTTGCTTCTTGCAATTCATATTCCAGCATTACATTAGCCTAAAAACAGAAATTAAGAAATGTAAGATAAAATTGGAAATTAGAGCTATGCGCTAGATGTTTTAGGATTTACCCCAAGCCATAAATAGACGGTTTTTGTCGACTTGACTTTAGCAGCGGCCCACAAAGTATCATTCAGCTCGAAAGTAGTCTCTATCGATTCATCAGAATCCTATTAAATAAATTAAATATAAATAAAGTTATCATATAATGCCTATACGGATTGAATGAATTATTACCTGCATTGATATCAAAAATTCCACGACTGTTAAAGTTTTTTTAATTTCTGGTATTCTAGTTTCAAGGCCTTTCTTTCGGTTCATATAATTGAATTCCATAAATTTGTACTTGCTGGATTAATTGCAAGAAATAGACGAATGGTTGACAGAACTCTTAAAGCAACTAAATAATCTTGACGCATTATACCTTGACAAAGTAATAAAATGGGAATGCTCACGCTACGGTTTCTTGAAATTTACCCAAGGTAGCCTCGAAAGATGCTTTAGACATGAAATCGTCAACATTTTCCTGTTCATGAATTTATAAATATATCAAATCCATTCATTTTTGAAGAAAAAAACGCGCAAGATAGTAATATTTAAACGCGAATCCGTTAAGTAATAAGTTAATACTATACAACAAATTGAACTTTTGGTATTCCTCTAGGGTTCATCACCAGTTCTTCCGCTGGATCACTGCTAGATTTCTCAAGTTGGCGCGTCGACATTTGAATTTTAACGGTAGAAAAGATGCAGTTGCAAATAGGATATCCGGATTAATAAAGATCGACAAATCACGGGCAGAAGTCTGTCTTATTGGATAGACAGAAGTTCGTTTGATTGGTTAATTTTTACCAATAGCTTTTTTTGACAATAATATAGGGCAGGGATGGTAAATGACCTGGTCATTTGGCTAAATGAACCGGTCATGGATTATTTATATATATCAAATAGCTAATATAAAAAGATATTAAACATTGTTTTTTTTTTTTAGCTGTACAAAGTTGGTTTAAATTCTGGTTTGACATCTTTTATAAGCATTTAGAAGCAGTTTGTTTATTAGTTAGTAAATTAATTTAATCAAATCAAAGAGTTATATCAAATTATGATTTTATTTTACTTTCTATAAAACTACAAATCAAATCTAATTATGATTTTTTAATTTTATTATTATCTTTTTTTTTTTTTTTTTTTGTAATTTATACAAGTATTATTTTTTTTTTTTATATTAGTCTATTGGTAATTTTATTTATTGCTATGTTTTTTTTTCTTCTTTTGTTTATAGAGTTAATTCCATTTAATTTTTTTATATTATTATTATTTTATAATGTTTTTTCTATATATTTTCAAAAAAATTGTTCTATGTTGTACTTGTTTAAATTTTTAGATTCTTCTTTTAGTTTTTTTTGAATAGTTAAGTAAGGTTTTTTAATATTGTTTTGACTTAGGAATTGGACCTTATAACTTAACAGTAAAGTTGCTAATTTTTCACAAACTAGGTCAATGATTCAAGTTAGGCTAAAGGCAAAAAATCTTAGAATTTAATTCTGTAACTTAAAAATAGAAGCCAAATTAAATACAAAACTCTGTAAAAAGTTCTAAGATAAAGTACAAGAATAAATTATAAATTTTTAGAAGAAGACCAACTCTGTAAAGTGAAAGCACTATGTGTAATAGTAGTGTTACAAAAAGTTTAATTACAATAGTATTGTGCAAGTAAGGTCTCAGAAAATGAGATATTATTAATATTTCTATATTTAATATATAAAGTATTTAATTAGAAAAATAATACAACTTATATAAAAGAATCTTCAAAATTTAGAATCAAAACCATCAGATTTAGTTTGGCATTTAGTTAGCATTTAGTAATACAAGTTAACTATTTTTAAACAAATTATTAGTTAGGCAACTTTACTTAATAAGTAAGTTATAGTTTTATTAACAAACCTTTTAGTAATCTTGAACAAAATTAGTTAATTTCAACTCTGCTAATTATAATTCTAAAATATTCTGATCTGAAATTTTGAGGATTCTCTATATAAGTTAAGTAATACCAAGTAACCAAACTAGAGTAGAAAGCAATATAGTGCATATAAAGAAGTTCTGTAGCAAAAGATTAGTCTAATCAAAATTGGAACATCTTAAACAGATATCTTAAAAGTACTTAATAAATATTCTTCAAAATAGTTATATATTACAACTTAAATAATAAGCACTATACATATATATAATAAGTTAAAGTTCTAGGCCTTCTTGCAACACCAAGCTAATAGTACTAAACTAATTATGAAAATACATCTAAAAAAAGTACATAGTAAATTGCAGATTGATAATTCAAATCTTGATAAATCTAGTTATACCAATAAAATACTAGAAAGTATATATGTTTATATATATCAAACTGGTAGTAAGAAGAGCAAAAAATCACTAAAGTTAACCAATTTAGAAAAAGAATAGGTTATTGCAAATAAAAGATAGATGAACTACTGTTAAACTAAAGATAAAAGAAATTCAGATATAATAAGATGATCTATAACTTTCAAATAGTTTAATAATAATTAAAATATATAGTAAAAACTACAAAAAAGAATATATTGGAAAATATAAATGTAATATCATATTAAGTATCTAGAGCTAATAGTAATCTAGTAACACAAATATAATATAACTATATATAATAGTAATGCAAAAAACTAAATAAAATATAAATTATAATTTGGCATTATAAAAAAAATTATTTTAACTTTATATTATATTAATTTCTTAATGTTTTTAGATTTATATATTAATTTTTCTTTTATTAAAACTTTTTACAAGATTTTTATTAATTTTTTTTATTTGTTTTTTTACAAATTTCTTTTAAAATGTTGTTTAAACTAAATTAATTATATTTTTTATATTAGTTCATTTTTTTTTGTAGTTTTTGTATATTATTAAATAGTCTTAATTTTTTTTTTTTTTTTATTATATAAAATGCAATGTAAAGTTTTGTATAAATTTAAATATTATAGGTGTGGCAACCTAGTAAAGTGGTCAGATTGTCAACCTTTCGAGTAGTAGATTAGGTGTTCAAATTCTATTAACAGTAAAATTTGAATAATCACCTATATAATATTCATATTATAACAACTGTTACTAACAATTAGATTAGGATATCTGTAATGACAGTCACACTAGTATGACTGGCAGGTCATAAAGCATTTGTGTAATGTTAAAGTTATACAGAAGAATGCAAACTGACAAATCAAATAGTGCAAATACTAAATAAGTCCTTGTAATTATGTAAATCCATTGAAATTAGGTAACAAGAAGTTTATTTAAGAAGACATAAGTAGAGAGGTAGCTGGATCTTTGATAGCATTACTATAAAGACTAGTTTAGAGAAATGGATATTCAGGTCTTAGTAACCAGACAGACAAGAATCTCTGGATTGAAAATCTCAGAAGTACTACTAATCAGGCTGCCAGAATAAACTGAAGAAAAAAAATATTAGGCTAAACTAATATACTAATGAACTGATTGTAATTCTATATAAACTATCTGAATTGGAAATCTAATGAAATTCAAAGTATACTAAAATACTAAGGTTATGCTATGAAGTAGATGCTAAAGTCTAAGTAAACTCTATAAGGGCATAGTAATTTAATGGTTAAGCTCTAATTACAAGTATTGGTTCTGCTATAGTGATATCTAGATCAGCTATAAAAATATATATAGAAGGCTTTGGAGGATTTACCTCAAGGATAAATTAGTTCTAAAATTGAAACAATGATCTGAGCATTTGAGTATGATCTAGTGAGTTAATACAGATTATAGATTCAGAAAGTTTAAAGTGAAACACCCAAGCAAGAATGTTAGATATAGCAATTAGTGAAAAACCTTTGGGCAGACTCCTTAAATAAGTAATATAGAAAAGTTATATATATAGCCAATTGTATACTCTTCTGTAGTAGTTTATTGAATCACAATACCAATAAGTAATTAATAAAAGTCAAAAAACCAAAGAGGTCACCTTAAAAAAAAAATAAATAAAATAAATTTAAAATTTTTTTACTAAAATTTTAAGTACTAGTAGCTTTTTATTTACATATTTAATTAGTATTATAATTTATTTGTTTATATTTTTTTTATATTTGAATACTTAACTTTATTTTTTTATATTTTTTTATATTTTTTTATTTTATTTTAACTTAAGCAGTCATGTTAGTATTTTATTAGTATTCTTGATACTATATAGCATAGATTAAATATATAAATAATAGTAAAATAATAAAATATACCTATATAGTTCTATTAGTTGGCTGATATGCATATTAAATAATATATTAGTAAACTAATAGTTATCTATATTATAGAAAGTTTAAATATAAAAATCAGCTATATAATAATATATCTTTAGTTTATTATTATTCTTTTGTTATATATAAAGGAATAAGATAAAAAAAAAATAATAATAAACTAATAGATATCAGCATCAAAGCAAGATATAAGTATACAAAAGGTATAAGAAAAAATATATATATATATATTTTTTTTATTCTGATATTTGTCTTGCATATTAGTAGCATCATAGTAAGGTATAAGTATATATAAAGGTATACATATATTGATATATATTTTACTGATATTTATCTAACAACTTCATAATATAAAGCAAAATAAAAATATATAAAAGTTTATATTAATATATTTTCTTTTTTTATTATCTAGATATTCATTTAAAGTTATTAAAATATATATAAAAGCATATAGTAATATATATTTTTTTCATTTATTATCTTTATATTTATTTTACAAGTTCTTTAATATAATAGCAAAACAAAGGTATATAAAGACATATATCAATATATATATTATTATTCTCTTTTTTTAATTATTATTTACTTTTATCTTTTTTTTTTTTTCTTCAGACTCTAATAGCCTCTGAAAAAAATGTTCTGAGATTTGCAGTATTTCTGTGATTTCATCATCAACAGAATCTGACCTACCTATATCTATATATAAAAGGTAGAGTTAATATAATTTAAATACAATTTAAATTAATGCATTTATTTTAATCTATATTTAATACTTGATAGCTAATAGTAGCTTCAGTTATGATATCTTCTTTAGATATATGTACAGAGCTTCTATAGACCATTATGTCTTCTATTTCTAAGATTTAAAAAATATATATGTCATTTCTGAAATTGAAATTACAGATTAAATCAATAAATAAAAATAAATAGTAAGAGAAAAAATATATATGTTAGTTTATTATATATTTAATAAAAATTAATATCAGTAATTATTTAAACATATTCTAAGATATTACTGATATTAATAATTATAGAATATATGATAAACTAATTTTATTTATGAAATCAACCTAATTTAGAAACTAAAATTTTACTGATTTAAATATTATATATGATTTTCATATTAAAAAACTTATTTTAGCAATTTTAATTTGATTTTTGAATAAACATATATTTTTTTTTATTTTTTTTTTAACCTTAAGCAGTTATACTAGTACTTTATTAAGATTCTTAAAACTATTTACATTTATAATTATATAGAATTTCCTAATACTTAAGTCTAGTATCACTCAGCCACCTTATTGGTACCTAAGTGCAATCTGCTGCACTATCTCAGTTAGAGATAGACTGCTCGTCTAACTACTTAAAGCCATACTAGA